TTAGTAGACCATTTCAAAAGTTCTTTTTCGCTTTTTTGTGTAAAACTTTTTAAGGTAAAATTTTTCTTTTCCAACGTCATTTTGTTGACTTTTGAGCTATGTGGATGCTAAAACCCCTTTTTTCGATAATAGTGCGAAGATATAACGACAGCCAAACTGTGAAGTGATCTGGTACTGTAAAAAACATATTTCTCCCATTAGTGAAACGGATCATAACTTTGAGAACCGTAAGAAAAGTTATGACGCTCACGATAGAAAAAAGATTGTTGAAAATTAGATGCTTAGATCCAGTATGACTCAAGCATATTAAAAGACTACTTGAAGTTTTTAACGTATTACCCCTCTGATCAATAACAGCGAAATGGTCCACTGTCCTACATATTATTTTCATGCTTAGTTCAAGACAATTTGTTGCTAAGCAATCACTATAATATGACTGCTGTAATGTCCCACTACATTTCAATCTATTCAAAAATTGCTTTAACCTCCAGTCTCATTACCTGTTCTTGTTGCGAAACTTGAGATAGCGTCGAAGCCAACGATGTGATACACTCGGAGGTTAATTTCGCATTCGCTGGTGGTTTGCCTTGTACAAATGAGCAACGAGCGCACACCTCATCTGCCCCAGCCACTAAGGATATCGGCACTCCATATTTGACCTATAATCACATATACAGATTATATAACGAAAAAGGATTTGCATATACAGTAGGCTGTCCGCAATAATGGACAACTTCCCACCAAACAGTTGTATAATAACTCCAGTAAACCCATCATTACGACAACTGTAGACTTATAACTATTTTCACTTCACGTTTCTGCTTCAGTGAACGATATTTGAAGCGAATGATGCTTCCTTCATGAATAGCAGAATTTCAAAAAACACCTTTTCTTTTGAATCTTAAGAAGATCAACTACCAGAACTAACTGGTCTAGCCATTCTACCCTAGACAAACGTAGCGCCTAACTTAGCACCAATGCAACGCTGTGGACCAGTTCTCGTCAGTGTTTATATTTTAACCACTCCATTCTTTCTATTTTCTGCATCCTTTTTTGCATTGTGAGCATTCTAATCCTCTTCAACAAACATCAAAAAGACTGCCTAGTGAAGAGTGATATGATCGATGCACATATGATCATAAATAGCTCTTAATGAGTGCTCTGGATTGATTATTGAAACTTTTGAAAATTTATGGCAAATTCTAATTATAAGTCATCAAATAATACAGGCCGCGCTCTACAAACTTTTGACAAAGACCATGAAAACCCAGCGTCACGAGAGGTTCAATAGACACTGTTCTCAACTGAGCATACCGTCCATCTAGAAGGCGCAGCTAGCAGCTTTGGACGTCCTGACGGACGTGTGCCCGATAGCTTTTAAGCAGCTAGCGCAGCTTACCCATTGAGAAAAGAAAAATTGTCCTTTTACTTTTGATTTTACTCTAAGGACTGAATTCCCATCGAAAACCGAGATGAAGCTAATTAATTCGTGTAACAAAAGAATATTATAAGTGTGATCAAACAGAACACGAATTATACAAAAGTTGATAGTTATTTACCTTTGTTCATCTAAACCGTGAAGGTTTCTAGTCACTCAGTGTTAACTATGTCAATCTTAAGATGCCCGCCTGCCGTAGTGTCATGCTCCTTTCCAATTTTCCTTCTCCGTTCTCTCAAAGAAAATGTCTATTGAACATCGGTTCTGATCT